GCTTTAAAACGCGTCACTGGTAGGAGTAAGACTCCCACTTCCTTATAAGGAAGCCGAATCTCCCTAGCCTCACCGATGTGGGATGCTCCTGCATTGCTACAGGAGCGTTGGGTTTAAGATTCGTGGATTTGACCGGATCTAGGGAACGCTTAGGTTTTTCGGACCCAACAGTTTCCAAAATAAGATCCCACGTAGAAGGCATATCCGTCAGGTCCGTAATGTGCAAGATACTATCCCAAACTTCACAAGCATAAGGCCACTGAAAGAATAAGTGGGAATGGCTATACATACAAAGTTTACAAAGCGAGCATTCCAGATCCGGTGGTTCATCCTTCTAGAGCATACGATCTTTTATAGGAAGATGCCTCTGACAAGCAAGCCACAAACAGAAGGCATGCTTAGAGATATGGCCAGAGAACCAAACCGCTTTATGCCAAGGGACAACCGGGTGAGATTCCTCTAAAGAAGCCCAAGCATTACTGTGAATTCCAAAGAAGAAGTATGATCTTCCCCCCAAAGAACTCTGTCACGAACTAAATCACTCAACGAGGGTAACAGAGAAGAATGCAGCTCAGCAAACCTGTTACTCCAATCATCCGGCCTAACACCGTCCCAACCCATTAGTAGCTCACAAACCGTCGTAGAAGTTGAGAACCCACATGAATGGACAAACCAGTAAGAGATAAAATCCGAAAGATGACCGCAGGAAAGCCAACCATCCTCCCACGCAATAGTATCCTGACCATCACCAACCTGGGAAAACAAAAATCTTCGCAATTGGCTACGTAAGTCCAATGGCTTGCGAAAGACCGACGACCAATTTGAGCTTTTCCTAACCAGCCAAAAGTGAGAGGAGCAAAGATTATGACTATATACCCAACAAACCCACAGAGAATCCTGATGCCTCACAATATCCCACACATGTTTAGCAAGTAAAGCTCTATTCCAAGTGGACAATCGCTTAATCCCAAGGCCTCCAGAAGCAAGAGGTCAACAGACCATATCCCAAGATAATCTACATCTACCACGAGGATCATCCCTTGGAGCGGAAATTCCTAAAAATAGATTCAAGATCATGGATTACCTCATACAGGAATAAGAACACCAACATCCAATGAAGCTAGAGGGATTGCAGGACCGATACAATAAGTTGACGTCGCCCTCCAAACGACAGGAACTTGGACTTCCAATTTAGAATGCGACCCTTCACCATAGCAATTAACGGAGCATAATCACATAGCTTCAGCCGAGCTTGAGATAAAGGGACCCCCAAGTATCGGACAGGAAACAAACCAAGCTTGAAAGGAAGACACTCTAGAATGGCCTCCTTAATGTTAGGAGGCACATTCCCAAAGTAAATTTCGCTTTTTTCAAGGCTTGGTGCTAACCTCGAACGACTCTGAAAAAGAAAGAGAGCCTTTTTTAGCACTTCCACCGAAAGAACATCCCCTTTAGTAAAAACAAACAAATCATCAGCGAAACAAAGATGTGTCAAATCCAGCTCTTCACAACCCTGATGGTACCCAAAATCAGTTGTTTCCCGAATGCAATGCTTAAGGAGCATAGGAAACCCCTCCATCACAATCGTAAAAAGATAAGGGGATAAAGGATCCCCTTGCCTAAGACCCCTCCCTCCATGAAAAAACCCATAGGAATTACCATTGATCGCAAGTGAGTAGGAGGCGGTAGACACCATCTCCCTTATCCACTTGACCAGAACCGGATGAAATCCTAAACCTTGAAGCATAACAATGAGGAAACGCTCCACAGTATCATAAGCTTTTTTTATATCAATTTTGAACACACACCTAGGTGGTCCCGACGAGGTCTGGTACGTAGAAACAATATGCCATAAGAATATTATCCGTGATCCTCCTACCCGGAATAAACGCCGATTGGGCTTTATCAATTAAGGAATCCAAAGATCCCTTCATTCTGTTTACAATGACTTTACTAATGCATTGTAAAGCATTGTACAGCAAGCTATGGGCCGGTAATCCGTAACCCGAGATGCATTAACAGATTTAGGGAGAAGACATATAAGAGTATAATTCAAATTCTTCGGGAGGTTACCACGATAAAAGAAATTGTGGATAGCAAGCTCCACATCACGGCCAACAATATCCCACGCAGCTTTGAAAAACTTCGACAAAAAACCATCAGATCCTGGAGCTTTATAATTACCAATGCTAAACAAAGCATTTTTTAATTTCGTCATTTAGAATCGGTCGGATCATGTGGTTAGCTTCCAATAAAGAGAGCTTTATCGTGAAGACATCATCAGGCATAGACGAATCAGGGGAGACATACCTCATACCCAAAAAATCTTTAAAATGATCAACGAACACTATCGGGACATCTTCACCAAAGAAGTAAACACCACCACCAATACAGACCAAATGAATGGAGTTGGAGTGATGCCTCTCTTTGATCACCTTATGGAAGAATTTGGTATTCATATCACCATCATTCAACCATTTAATTTTTGCCCGTTGCTTAGCAGCACATTCCTCGTCCTAACAAGCATTCTGATACGCAAGACGGATATGGCCAAGTTCAAGGCCTAACTCGTCATTAGAAGGGTCTTTATCTACATCCAGCTGAATACGATCCAATTCAGTCTTCAAACAAGAGACACGTTTTCCAAGGTTACCATACGAATTCCGAAGTTTATGAAGTGGAGTCTTGAGAGCCTTCAAGTGAGAAGTCACTCGAAACATAAAAGTGCCCTCAATATTTTTAGCCCATTCGTCCTTAACAACTTGTAAAAAAGTAGGGTGGTCAGTCATGAAGCTGTCGAATTTGAAACCATACCTCTTTTCCCGAGCGCCGCCTTGAAAGATGAGACAACCGGCGAATGGTCCGAAAGGCCCAAAGGATGAAACTGAACTCTGGCATCATAGAATTTAGAAGTAAAATCCGAATTAGCCATAGCCCTATCGAGTTTGCGCAAGATACCCCCTTTAGCGTTCGGCTTTTGGTTCCAAGTGAAATGGACACCTGAGTAATGTAGGTCAAATATTTCAACATCCTCAACGCACGTAAAAAAAGTCAGACATATCCGCATTACGACGAGAAGACCCACCAAACCCATCATGGGGAAATAACATGGCATTGAAATCTCCCATTACAACCTACGGATGAGTACCAATCAGAACTTTAAATTTCCGCAATCCAGACCATAAATCTCTTCTGGCATTACAAACATTAGCCCCATAGACCAGAGAAAGGAAAATATAATCTTGGTCACCCCGTAAAAATACCTTACAATTTAGGAATTGACTATGGGCTTCCAAGGCCACAACATCTAAAGCTCGTGGATCCCATGCTAGGATTATTCGAGTTCCAGAATTACACACGGCATGATATCCTAGTTTGTAGTAGAGATAAAATTGAGCATGTGTTTTACATTCGGAGATTATTTTAAAGATTGCATGAACAAAAGCTTTTTCATAAGCTGGAGAAATGTGCTTTTATGGTACCTAGTATTTCTTTTCTTGGATACATAGTTTCTAACCATGGAGTTAAAGTTAATCCAGAGAAAGTCCATGCTACTTCATCTTGGTTAACTCCTAAGAACGTACACGATGTAAGGAGTTTTCATGGCTTAACTTCATTTTATAGAAGATTTATCAAAAATTTATCTTCTATTATGGCTCCTATCATGGAGTTACTCAAAAAAGAAGGTGATTTTGACTAGTCTAAATCATCTCAAAGGGCATTTGAGGAGATTAAGGAGAAGCTTTGCAATGCTCCTGTTTTGGCCTTTCCTGATTTCAATAAGTTGTTCAAGGTAGAGTGTAATGCAAGAGGAATTAGCATAGGCGTTGTTTTGCTATAAGAAAATATTGCTTTTTCGTTTTTAAATGAGAAACTAAGTGGCACCAAATTGAATTATTCTAACTATGATCTTGAATTTTATGCCATTGTTAGATCATTGGATCATTGGTTCTATTATTTGTGCCCTAAATCGTTTGTGCTACATTCTAATCATAAAGCATTGAAGTTTATACATGGGGCAACAAAAGTTAAATTTTCGTCATGCTAAATGGGTCCTTCAATTTTTTACTTTTTCCTCAAAATACAAGGAGGGAAAACCAAGCGTGGTTGTAGATGCTCTTTCAAGGAGCGCATATTTGTTGGATATGGTGGATGCTACAATTCTTGGTTTTAAAAATATTCAAGGCCTGCATGAGTCTGATGATGATTTTATACAAGAATTCAAGTCTCCTACTTGTAATTTCACTATGCAAGATGGATTTTTGTTCAAGTGAAATAAGTTTTGTATCCCTAAATGTGGTGTTCGAGAATCACTTATTCGTGAAATGCCTAGTGGTGCAATCGCTGGTCACTTTAGTATACACAAAACTACGGACCTACTAACTGAAAGTTTCTTTTGGCCTAAATGGTGTGAGGTGTCCAATCAGTGGTTTCTAGATGGGATATTGTCAAAAGAAAAAGTCCTTTCTCTAAAGGTTTGTACACTCCTTTGCCGGTTGCTAGTTCCACTGGGATAGTGTGAGTATGGACTTCATTATTAGGCTCCCAAACACAAAGGGGAAAGATTCTATCATGGTTGTGGTTGATCGCTTTTCAAAGATGGCACATTTAATTCCAATGAAGAAAACGGATGATGCACAACACGTAGTAGATCTTTATTTTCGAGAAATTATTTGTTTGCATGGTGTTCCTATAAGCATTGTGTCTGATGGAGATTCCAAGTTTTTGAGTCACTTTTGGAAGTGTGTGTAGCATTTGTGGGAGACTAAGTTGATGTTCAACACTTTTCATCATCCACAAACGGATGGCCAAACAGAAGTCACTAATAGAACGTTGGGTACTTTGCTTCATGGATTGGTGAGTAAAACACAAAATGATTGGGATGTGAAGTTGAGTCATGCCGAATTTTCTCACAATCGGTCTTATTCGTCCACTACTTCTCATTCTCCATTTGAGGTAGTTTATGGTTTCAATCCATTCCATCCAATTGATTTGCTGCCTTTACACAAAGATGACATCCATATTGATGCAAAGAAGCGTTTGGGGGTTTAATAAGACTTGTGAGTAGGTGAAAGAAAGGATTGAGAAGATGAATATAATTTATAAAGGAACGAGCTAATAAGAACCATAGGCAACCTATTTTTAAGCCCAAAGACCTTGTCTGGGTTCATTTGCAAAAAGAGAGGTTTCCAAGTAGAAGAAAGAACAAGCTTATGCCAAAGGCAGATGGTCCTTTTGAGGTACTTGAATCATATGGAGATAAAACCTATAAGATAGATTTTCCAATTGATTTTGGTCGTGTTATTGCTACTTTCCATGTGGGAGATCTTTCTCCTTATTTAGATGATGTGAATTTGAGGGTAAATTCTTTTGAAGAGGGCGAGAATGATGTGAATTTTGAAGGAATTTCTTATGAAGAGTCTGTCACTTTGTTACTCAACCCAATGGGATTTGATTTCGACAAAACACATACTTGGGTGACAAATCTGACTTGGAGGACAAGCAATGGGCTAGGGTTAGAAACCTTGGGCTAGAATGCATGGAAACTGATTCCCAATCAGTTTCTACTCTATCCCTTTAAATTTTATATAAAATTTTAGCCCCAAGGTTTTGGAATTCACTTGAATTCGTTTTACTTGGTTTGGCTTTAGGAAATATCTTCTTATTCATAATATCCTATTTTTCCTTTGTTTCTTAGTCATTGTTATCCATAATTTCCTTATTGCTTATATATTTACGGTCATCCATGTAGCTTCAATTATCAATCAATGATAATTTCGTTTTGTATACATTCCTTTTGCAACTTGCATAAGTTTTGTTATATTTTGTAGACTTCAAATACTGGATTGTTGAGGTTTAGATTTATCAAACAACTTAGTTTCTAGATTGATCTAAGGAGTTTGGGATTTAAAGTACACATTTCTAGATTGATCGTGTAAGGTTGAAATATCAGTTCAGATTCAAGCTTAAGGTTCCAAGAAATCATCAAGATCCGATTTTTTATCTCAAGGTTTCTGAATTTCTCAACAACTTCACTTAACAAGGAGTTGGATCCACATCAGGTAGGTTACTAATGTGCTTGTTTCTCTATCGGATCGTCTCTATTATTAGAGGTCAACTTTTGAATAACAAATCAATACTAAAAGAATCATAATTTTTAAAGATCAGCTTTATGAAAAATAATGCATCCTAATAAATTATATATTATATATGTTTCACTTTAGTTCAGCCATATAATGAAAATGTAACAATAAATATGGCGAATATAGTTCTACATGATTTAAATAATCATTATAACAAATATTTGTATGGCAACCTATTAACATGTATTAATTTGTACATACAAAATATTGAAAAATGTCATACTGCTTTATAATTGAGAAATTAAGAACTTGAAATCTTAATAGATCATACTAATAAATAATTAATTAATTAACAAGGGTTATTAACCATTTTCCGTACGATAATTCTGTTGGGACTTCCGCCTCATCGTTCCCTCGAGCCGGTCAAATCCGCGATTCTTAAACCCAACGCTCCTGTAGCAATGCAGGAGCATCCCACATCGGTGAGGCTAGGGGGATTCGTCTTCCTTATAAGGAAGGGGGGATCTTACTCCTACCAGTGACGCGTTTTAAAGCCGTGAGGGGTTGTTGCCGGGAGGGGCAGCCCAAAGCAGACAATATCATGTGGGCGGTTCCCTAGTATCGGTCCAACAATTTCATACTCTCTTCTATCACCTACTTTCCTATAACTCTAATATTTTTAATTTTTAGTTACACTTTCTACCCCTTATAAACAATTATTTGATTTACTTTAGTCATTTAAATATTTATAATATTAACATATATAATCGTATATTAACTAAAATATTTTTTAAAGAAATTGCACTATTATAAATGTCTTGTCAATACCTTTATATGAGTTAAATATTGAATATTTTTGGGGATAATCATATAATTATATATAATAAATACTACAAATTTATTTTTAGTACTTACATTTTGTACTTTTATAATTATCTGCTATATTATAAAGTATTTGACAAAAACTCTTAAAAAAATTATGCATAAAATTATGTTTATTAATGTAGATTACTAAAAATTCAAGATTACTAAATTATCGTAAATACAATTTATTAAAGTTTCATGTATGAATTCGTGTAACTAATTGCAGATAAAAATAATCAAATACATGATGAACATCTCATTTTAAATATAA